TGGGGGTGGGGGGATGCTCAGCCACTGAACTGCCCTGTGCTGTGTTGTAACTGAGCATCCGTAAGCCTTTGAAAAACAGGATGTTATAAATACGTGGCTGGTTCTACGGTGGGAGTTTCCAATCTTGGTTAGACAATCCACCGCCTAAAACCAGCCCCAAGCCCGTGATGTGGGGTTTTCATGCGTGAATCACCCCTGTTCCACTGTCCGATGCGTCTTCCAACTGTTGACCGCTAATCTCGATGACAGGGCAGCGGCCACTGTGAGTCAATAAACGGGAGAAGGGAACTGCTCTGACACCTTGTGGCGTGTTTTCAATAAACCTGTCCCGGCCTGGGCTTCACACACACGTGAGACACCACTGATGTGTCCCCCTGGCTTCCAGGCCTCCGTGTACCTTGCGTGTTCACTTATCTGCGTGTATTTGTCCGTAGCAGACACATCCTCTTAAAAGAGGCCCATAAAATAGTCCCTTCACATGCGTCTCAAAAGGACTGTAAAATACTGACATCCATGTGTCTGTCCGGCCTGAGCTCCACGGTCAGAACGAGTTGTCGGGAGGAGCAGGGGAGAGGAGGCCTCGCGAGTATTCACACGTGGGGGGTGTCTCGCGAGGGCGTCATAGGAGCGCACGCTGTGGAGCGAGGACACCGGGGAGGCTTCCCGGGGGCAGGGCTGTGCCACCCGCCGCCTGCCCGCTTCGAGGGGCGCGTCTGTCCGGGGAAGGAGGCGCCGCCCACTTACCTGACGTAGAGGTCGGCGTGGTATTTCTTGCCGTTCAGCACTCCCAGCAGGGTGGGGTTTTCATTGTTTCTGAAATTGAGTGTACAGTCATATACAGCTGAAACTATAAAAAATAAAACAAATACAAAGCAGTATATAGCGTGTGAACCCGATTCCGTTCTGTAGACACACACATTGGGAAACAGTAATCAAAGGGCTGGCTGGTTGTCTGGGAACCAGGGGCCACCGGTTTCCTCTTCTTGCTTTTCTGTCTTGTCCAAATGTTCTACGGTGAACACGTGTCATTTTGTGACCAAAAAAGCCCATGAAACTCACTGATGGAAAAACCAGAACTGCCACTGAGGCTGGGTGAAGGTAAAGCAATACTGCCCATCTGGGTGGGCACCCCCAATATTCCAACGTGTCGGAGGTAAGAGCAAGGGGCCCGCAGCACCCTCTCTGCGGGCGTCTGGGCGGTGTCAACACCGCCCCTCTATGGGCATCTCCCCCAGGGAAATGGGACAGCTGTGCGCTGGAATAAGACCCTGGGAATCACGGAACTACGGCCGCTTTAAACACGGCTGAGAAACAAACAAGAATCTGATCTTGACGACCTGGGGTGGGCAGCACCACAGATCACCCGCCGTCCACACCCCACCCTCCGACCCAAATCCCTGAGCCGCTGGGGGCCCTCGTGGGGTGCAGAGGGACCTGAGGACCAGGCCAAGGAGTGAGCGGTGTGGACAGAATCACGTTTGACCGGCTGCGTCTCTCCCTTGGGACAGTGCCCAGCCTATCCCCGCACAAGGCCAAGCTGCCCCAGGGCCCCAGCTCGCCCCGCCAGCCCCTCTGGAGACAAGGGATGAGGGGCTTTGGGAGGACAGCTGGTTGCTTGGCAGGAAAAGAATAAGGAATGGCCCTGGCTAGTGTGCATCAGTTGGTTGGGTGTCATCCTGTGGACTGAGAAGTCACGGGTTCGATTCCCGGTCCGGGCACGTGCCCGGGTTGCAGGCTCGATCCCCAGCAGGGGGCCTGCAGGAGGCAGCCGATCGATGCTTCTCTCACGATGATATTTCTCTCTCTCTCTCCCTCTCTCTTCCTCTCTCTCTAAAAATCAATAAAAACATATTGGGGGGGAGAGAGAGAGAGAATGGCATTTCTAACCTAAAGGGACAGGGTTGGGGAGGAGACGGAGTCGTGACGAGAGACTGGAGACAGTTACTGCGGCTACTTATTCTCACCTAGCGTGACTTAGGGCTCCAGACTCAGAGGGTCGCTGCCACAGATGACGAGGCCACAGAGTTCATCATCTGGGGGCAGCTGGTGCTGACGGGTGAGCAGGAAATGCAAACAAAGCACAAACAATAACCTGGTCTAACCTGGCCGACCGGGTGTGGGCCCCGCTGGACCCGTGAGGCCCTGGCGCTCCCCAGGCCTACGGCCTTGCAGTACCAGGGCTGAGCAGGGGAGGGCGGTGTTGCCTGAGAGTGAGCGAGAGTGTGAGTGTGCGTGTGCGTGTGCGTGTGCGCGCGTGCACAGACATGCAGGCAGTGGCCACACCTCCCACGCCAGGGGCCGGGTCCCTGATCCCTGGCTAACCGGGTGTGCACGTGCCATCCTTGTACGCCTCCCCTCCCAGCTACTACCACGGTGGGCAGGAAAGCCGGGCCAGGGGCAAAGCTGTGCCACCGGGTGCGGGGCGGGTCTCCTCGCGGCGGTGGGGAGGCTGGGGACCCGGATCTTCCTTACCTACATTTCTCAAACTCCTCACAGTGACGGCGAAGCCCTTGGTGCGCGGCAGCAGGTGGTGCTTGAGGCTGGGCAGCCCCTTGGCTTGGGCCACCTGCATGCTGATCTGGTGTTTCTTCTCCGTGAAGCGAGTGCCCTCGCAGTGGATCAGGAACTGCAAGGGACAGGGCCGGTCAGACGCAGCGCCCGTGGTCACGCGGGTCCCCGGGTCCCACCGGGTCCCAGGTCCCACACGGCGTCCTGTGGACACACTACCCACCCCTCCCCCATTGCACGCGGCAGTCAGGCCCAGAGGAGCCCTGGGGCATGGCCAGAGGGGTGGCCTGGCAGGTGTGCCCGCCTGTCCTCATGGTGAACCCAGAGCCGGCCGGCCTCTGCTGACAGCTCAGGGCAGGACACCTGGCTGCCGCGTGTGCGTGTGCGTGTGTGTGCGTGCGTGCGTGTGAGATGAGAGCATCCTGGAACTTCTTTCTGCACCAATAAGCTCAGGTGCAGGCCGNTGTATGTGTGTGTGTGTGCGTGCGTGCGTGTGAGATGAGAGCATCCTGGAACTTCTTTCTGCACCAATAAGCTCAGGTGCAGGCCGGACAGAGGCGTCATGCGTACAGTGGGGCAGATGTGGTACGTGTCAGGCGGCCAGGTGGGTGCAGGGGGCTGCTGGGTGCAGGATGGGGCTGCTGGGGGGTCTTACGTACGAAGTACTTCTCGGGGTAGTCCCGGAGGTGCAGCAAGCTCTTCGAGACGGTCTTGCGGTCCTGCTCCCACTTGCGCGTGCAGAAGACCATCTCGGTGAAGTACCACATCCAGCCGATGATGGGCACGTAGGCCAGCTCCTTCTTGGCCAGCACCTTGGAGCCCTGGAACAGGAGGGGCCTGGGCGTCAGGGAAAGGTAATGGGATCTCACTAGAAGAAGAGCAACATTCACTGCAACGGCTGGAGGGCACAGTCCAGACACAGGGAAGCAGGAAGCTGGAGGGCCAAAGTTGTGCTGAGTCCGCCCTGTGTGGGGTGGAGGAGTGGGCCTGACTGGGGGGGGGCGCTTGAGCAGGCACCAGGGGCAGTCTTGGATGGCATCAGCCAAGGGTCTGCATGTGATCACCATTTCTGCTCGCTAAGCCCATCCCAAGTTGTAACAGCACTTTGCAAACTCTCTCCGTTGATCTCACCCAGTCCGCAGCCAGCCTGCGGGCTCTGCGGGGCGACGTCGCCCGCCTTTCCAGACGAGGGGACGGTGGAGCTGGAGTTAAACTTGGATCACCGGGTCCCGCTGGGAGCTCTCCACCCGTCCCTTTGCCAGCACCTCCCGAGGCTGAGGCTGGTTCAAGACCCAAGGACCTGGCCCACCGACAGGCTGGCGCCCTGGGCTGCTGGGCACGGGCCGCCACCTCACCAGCTGTGCCAGGCTGCACGGCCGCCACCGGACTGGGAAGACCAGGATTCCGTGGGTGCAGGGGGCAGGCAGGGGAGACGCAAAAACAGCTCTTTCTCTAGTGGATTTGGGCTCTATCTGGTCACCCTTCATTTTGGAATTGGCCAAGATGCTCCTTGAAGGAGCCGTCACCGGTCAATGGCACAGACGGCTGAGGCGGCCGTGAGGGGAGTCGGGAGGCCTCGGCACTGCTCCTGGTGACCGGTGCCTGGCTATGCCCCGAACACACACGGCGCAGAGCTGAGGAGAGCGAGGCCTCCGCAAGGCCTCCCCTCTTCCCGCCACCCCTGTGACAACGGTGAGGTTCCAGCCCTGCGGGGGGCACTGGGCCACATCCCCTGACCACTGTGCAGACGGGAGAAAAGAGTAAACAGCCATTGCTCTTTACCTTATAGAGAAATGCACAACATCGTCCCCACAGCGGGAAGAAAAAGCACAGGCATCTGTCAGGTTTAGTGTCGTCCCCCCGCCATCCATGAGGTCCCCGTGGGTCAGGGGACTCGTGTGTGAGGCGAGGGCTGCCCTGGCGCCAGGCGCACGCTCGACATTTTATGTAACTGCTCTTCAATTCCAAACCAGTAGGAACAGGTCGCCCGTTTTACAGGTGATCAAACTGAGGCTCAGAGAGGCTAAGGAGCTTGTCCAGCCTCGCAGCTAACAGCTGGGGAAGCTGAGAAATGAGGCCAGGTTGTCTGTCGGGGGCCACAGGCCACGGTAAAGGTTAACGCATGTCCCTGGGTCAGATGCTGGGCCGCCTGCCCGACGGCCATCGTCCCCTCCTCTCGCATCAGACTCTGGCCCACTGTGTTCTAAAGGCAACACGTTCAGGCTCCGGGGTGACCATGAGGGATGTCAGCCCCGTGTCTGTCCTCCACACCTCATCCTATTAATAGAAAAATAAACGAAGAGAAACTAGTCCTGTAGGGTCAAGGAATCTAGTAATTACTGCGGGCCTACTTTGCGATGGGCAGCTTACTTATATGCATTAAGCCGTGACATATATTCATACGTCCCACACATTCATTAAACCCTACGACATCATGAACGGAAATGACTAACCGAGGCTCAGAAAAGTCAGGTAACCTCCCCCGGGTCACGCAGCTAGTACACACAGGAGCCAGGGTTCAAGTCCACGCCTAAGCCACTGTTTTTGTTTTTCCTACACATCTCTCTCCCTGCACCCTTATCAGTGAACTGCTCTGGGGGGGAAAAAAATAAATAATTGTCCTTGATATCTGAGCATGGAACACACAGGTCCATCTTTCAGAGAGTTAACTTTTTTGCCAAGTTTTAGATGTTCAAAAACAAATACAGGAAACCTCCAATTTGGGGGGACGTTACAGTTGATGGAGGTTTACGGGAAGTGACACTGGTACAGCCTTCACAAGCCAGCCTGTGCTGACGGTTTTCCTGTGGGAAAATTTTAGTTAGGAAACCGGTATTTTTATAATCCCACTTTAAGAAATGCCGATTTTGCCCTAGCGGATCTGGCTCAGTGGCCAGAGCACCGGCCTGCGGACTGAAGGGTCTGGGGTTCGATTCAGGCCAAGGGCATGAACCTGGGTTGCAGGCTCAACTCTTGGCCCTGGTCGGGGTGCTTGTGGGAGGCAACCGATCGATGTGTCTCGTGTCTCTCTCACGCCAAGGTTTCTCTCTCTCTCAGCCTCTCTCTCTCCCCCTTTCACCCTCTCTGGAAAGCAATGGGAAAAAATATCCTCAGGTGAGGATACTAGAACCTTTGGTTCTGCTCCTGGAGATACATTTGCGCGTGCACACACGGGCGCACACACGCACACACGGGCGCACACACGCACACACGGGCACACACATGGGCGCACACACGCACACAGGCACCAGCGCTGGGATAATAAACGGAAAGGCAGAGAGACAGCGAGTGGTCCACCCCCAGGGGACGCAGCCTTCCAGAGGCCTGAAGTCAGCGCGGTGATTAACACCAGCTGCCGTCTCTTCAAAAACTGCTAAAGACCTGAGCTGCTTTCGCTGGCTTAACGGCCTGACAACCACCATCATTTGTCCCAAAGACATTAATGGGATGTGTTTCTTTGAAAATGTCCTCCTCTCTCCTTTTGCCCCAAATGAAAAAATACTTAAATGTTAAAAACACATCCAACATGTGTCCCAAAGCTATTTCATTCCCCTTCACCAGGGTCTTCCCAATCAGGTCCCCACCTCCGTTGCCACCTCCACAGGCACATCAGGGACCCAACACGCTGAGTTGGTTGGAGACACCGACCCCCAGACTCCTGACCCATCTACCTGCCTGACTTCAATCTTCTCCACTCTGAACACTCTGATTTGTCCACATGGGCCACCAAAAACAAGTGTGAGTTGAGCAGTCCCCCGTCTGTCTGCGAGGGTGTGTCCCCACGTGCTGGTACAAGTTGTCACAGCCTCTCGGGGCCCCAGGCCAGGCCGCGTGCGATCTCGTTGGTCCACCTGAGACCCGCCGACCCCTCAGTTCAGTCACCCGACACGGGCTCAGCCGCCTCGCAGCTCAACGCGTTACAGACGACAAAAGTCAACTGAGGACACCCAGACCAAAGGCAGGCGAGAAGGGAACTAGTTGGAGAAAACAGAATTTTGTATTTATTCTGAGTCCTGCAGTTCAAACTCTTTCACTTTGGGACCTGACTTTCTTAAGCTCCAAAGATGGAAATTCAGAGGCAAAGACTGCCTGTCAGTCAGGGAAACCAATGCGGAGATTAGGAATATGAACTGGTGTAAAATGAGAGGAGCTCACCCCCAAACCTGCTGAGTAGCCGTGGGACCCTGAGCAGATTTAAACTTAGCTTTGCAAAAAGGTAGGTGTGCATGTGTCTGTAAGGCTTAAACAAACAGACGGCGTGTGAACTGCCCGGCACAGAGTAATCGCTGAATAAATATCATTATTGCTCATAGAAGATGCTCATCTTCATTGCAAGCTGGGAGGAAAAACCGCTGGTTAAAAACAGTTCGTCCAGTAGCAGCTCTGTTAATGCTTCTGCCAGTTCTGAACCACCAAGTGCAAAAGGCAACTTGTGGTGCAGACAAGAGCAAAGTGTCAGGAGGGTCCACGGGCGCCCGACTTACCCCCAAAACCCCGAAGCGCTCGGCCAGGCTCCACCCGCAGAGGAAGTCGATCTCGAACTTGTGGTTCAGGACCACGATGGCGTTTTCTTTCCCGAACTTGGGGTAGGCCTGGGGGTCCGTGTGGATGACGCACTCGGTGCCCGACCACCACTCCAGCAGCATCACCAGCTCTGCAACAGACACAACCACACACACATTTATTCCACGTGGCCTCGTGGCCCAGGGTTGCCCGCCGGCCAACTAGGAACAAGGCTGGGGCACGAGTAGCTTGTAGGGCTAAGGTTTTGGGTCACTCCAGCCCAGAGCCCAAGCCCCAAGAGGGTCCAGAAGCAGAAGGAAAAACAAGAGTGACTCTGGGACAGTGTCCAGGGAAGGGGAGGAGCTTCAGGAAGACAAGAGACTTGCATTCCTTGATGAAGGACCTTGGGGAAAATAAATCAGCAAACCCGAATCCATCAGGCATTCAGGCCCAGTGTTTACAGAGCTCTGAGAGGCAGCAGGAGATGATACGCGGAATTGTTAATACCCCGGGAGATGACTAATTGGAGTACTTATAAACTCCATCAGAGGATGCTGAGCACCCAGTTTTTCTCTCCTGTGGGCGACACGTGGGTGCACCCGGAATAACAAAGGGCAGGGGTGCAAGGAGGCAGAACCCGGCCCCTGCAGGGAGAGGATCCACTGGAGCCGCCACACCGTGGGCCTGCACGAGAGTCTTGAAATAGTCTCTCTAGGAGTGCATGAAAATCGGAAAGTCTTATTTTCAGGCCATAATGACCAATTTGACTTTCCCCAGTGAACAGTTCCCATCCTGGTAGCCTGGGGAAAGCCTGTATGTAGAGACTGTCCAGAAAAACAGTTGATTAAAACTTTAGGGTTCGAGCAGCTACGAAATGGGTTGTTCAGGTGAAGGTGCCTGGCAGGTGGTGGGTGGGTGTGAGTCCTCTGTGAGGTTGTCCCCCTTTTTTATCACTGGCTAGTGGGGCACACACTTAGCAGGGGGCTCACTCACTCATCAACCCCCTAAACACACACACACAGCCGTGGTCCTGGCTGTGGCCGAGCCGCGTGACCTAAAGACTTGAGTGGCTGCCGTCGCAAACCTTTCTCTGCGAGGCTGGAGACCGGTGCTTTTGAACCAGGGCGCCAGAACTCTCTAGAAGGCAGTGCAGCCTCGCTTCTAAGCAGCGAGCACTGTGGAGCTTGGGACAAGTGACCCTCATGGTGCCTCAGTGTCTGAATCTTTAGAATGGGTTTGCAGCATACAGCTCCGTGAGCATTAAAGTGCATAACACACAGGGGGCGCTGTGTGCATATCACAGAGCAAGCTCCCAACAAGCAGGCGTTCACACCCATCCGTGTCACTGAAAACACACCAAACCCCGCCTTCATCTGACAATAAAATGCCTGCCTATTCCTTGGAGTTGAGAAAATGCTAAGGCCCGAGTCAGCTGTCCCGCAGGCAGTGACATTGGTGGAACCTAGAAGATCAATGTTTAGGGAGGGCTGGAGCTGTGTCCTGGGGGGCGGCCCTGCGGCCAGGACAGAGGGACAGTGTGTTACCACTGATGAGACGCTTCTGTTGCTGCCCTGGTTTCTCCCGAGGGCTCGGTGGGCAGGACGGTCTGTTCCGTTACCGATCACAGAGCACAGAGGAGCCCCCAGCAGACCCACCGGGCGGCAGCGAGAGAGCTGAATGTCTCTGTGTGACTGTCGCTGTCATCTGTGTGCCCCAAGTGCTCTCTGTGCCCCGCTCCTCCCTGCCCGAGGCCAGGCCATTCTCCACGTCCCCTACATGTCAGTGTCCTTGTCTGTAAACAGGGTCAGGAGGAGCTTTCGGATACCGTGGGTGTTAAACGGGACTGTGCAGGGGCAGCCAGCCTGGGGTTTGTAGCACGGGAGGTTCTGTGGTCCTGAGGGGGACAGGGCGGGGTGGGGGGACAGGCACAGACAGACAGAGGGAGGAACTGTGACCAGGATTTCATAAGAAAGCCAATGAGATGTCACTGCGCACGCAGCAGAGTTTTTGTTCTAGAAAGCTCTCTCTGGCTGAAGGGGAACCGACGGGCGGAGCCAGGCGGAGCAGGGAGGCCCGTCTGAGGGCCACCGCAGGGGTCCAGGGAGCGGGAGGATGGCTGGACCAGGAGGTGACGGCGGAAAGCGGCCTGGCCCTCACTCTTCTCGACAGGCTGTGAGCTGCGCGACTCAACACTAAACTGCACGGGGTAGACGTTTTCCCTCCTGGTTGTTAACTTTTTTCACCAGCCTCAAATTTTTTTATTCACAGAAAATACATTTATAGACTCACACTGTAAAATGGTCCTGCCGCCCGGGAGCGTCTAGAGGAAAAGATGAAATTCCCCGGATGGCTGTCACTCGCTCTTGAGGGTAGGCTGGACTGCATGCCCCGTGGTCCCCTTCGTGCACTTCGGGTAAGGGGCCACGGGGCCCCT